AATAAGTACATATACTAGTAGGAGTGATCTACTACAGGTGAGAATTTACCTGTAGTCTCAGACTAGCCTGCGGCTGTAGTTGTTGAGTCAGTGGAGACTCGCACACCACACATGTGGCTGTATTGAGCGGCACCATGGTTTTACAATGCACACATAGACCCATCTATGAAAAATCACAGCAAATACTCATATTATTGTGAAATGATCACTTATTATCTGACTATCACTGAATTTTGTAGTAGCCAAATATGTTGTACCTGTCCTCCTTCAGTAGGGGGCAGTCTTTGACCAGGTATTGGAGGCACTGGTGCTCCACAGTGCAGGCAGAACCGGGCGAAAGGATCCGAAGGGCGATGACTCAGGCACTTTGGACATCTTCAGAAAGATGAATATTAATCTAAATATATTTAAATAATGAATATAAACGTATATACCTCACCTAAGGAAATCGGTCTCTCTCTGGACCCGTGATATCTGAGTGCTCGTCAGGTTTTTTAAGAGGCTTTCTCCATCTGCGCTCCGGTTCTGGTGGGAGTGAGAAAAAAAGTTAAACAGGATGTATAATAGATAACAGTGATCACCATCATAGTGTGGGTTGTTTGAAAGGGTTTTTATGCATGTTGTAAACCGTTACTTGTGTCTTTTGCACCGTCGGCCGTGCAGATGAATCGGGGCCGAGACGTTGTGAAAGAAACCGAGGGCCTTTCAAAGCTCTGCGAGATTCACTACTGGGAATATCTGACGTAAAAGAGAGCAAATTTGCCACAAGATAGTAAAATATATAATTATATATATATATATATATATATATATATTACAAAAAGAAAATTAGGCATATTTATTTATTTGCATTATGATACTATTTTTGTCCATTCATGACAAGGCACATTAAAATTCAATTCCCCTAATAACCTACTGAAATATGAAAAATATCATTCTAATCACCAGAATGCATGAAAAAAAGAACATTATTTTAAAATATTAATGAATACATAGTAATGAATAAATATTTATATATTTTTATGAATATTAAATGTAAAGTAGGATTTTAAATATGTATCATGGTAATATTTGTTGCACTGAATTTAAGTTATCCTGACTAATAACATTTTAACAGTATTTTATAGTAATAAGAACAAGATTTTTTTTACTTTGCCTTAATGAAAATTAATTTTACGTTATAGTAATGAAGAAGGAAACGATCATGATAACAAATGGAACTTATGCAAAATAGTTTTGTTACATTTATTTTTTTTACATTTTGTGTGTGTGTGTGTGTGTGTGTGTG